GAGTGTGTGTACTTGTGTGTGTGTGTTAATCAGATGACATCTGCGCTGAAAGACCACATTCACTTTTTAACTGTCAGTGTGTCAACACCTGCACACGGTACCTCAGCCTTTCTATTCATGTACTGTACATCCAGCTGACTGACATCTATACAGCTCAGTGTGAGTGTGTGTGTGTGTGCGTGTGTTTGTGTGTGTGTGTGTGTGTGTGTGGTGTGTGTGTGTGTGTGTGTGTGTGTGCGTGCGTGTGTGTGTGTGTGTGTGTGTGTGTGTGTGTGTGTGTGCGTACGTGTGTGTGTGTGTGTGTGCGTGTGTGTGTGAGCATGAATTGTAATGTCTCGACAAAACGCAGTTGTACCTTTAAGAAATTATAGGAATGTTTTCTTTATTTTCGGCTAATCTATACCATATTATTAATATATATTGCATTATTATAAGAATGTGTGTTAATTTAGAAGACATAAGACTTGTTTCCTTTAAGTTCAATAGCTTTTTTGTAAACTGCTCTGGCCATGTTCTCTTTGTTTAGGAGCGATGAGAGCACGTACAATCTGAGAGCGATCTCTTTAAACCGTACCTCGGAGCGACTTTAGCTCGGAGCGACTTTAGCTCGCAGCTAAAAGGTTTTTTATTTGAGGCTGTGAATTTTAATGCTTCGATGATTTTTTTATTTTCACTTAAAAAAATAAAATAAAGCCATGTTTTAAACTGCTAGAGCACCAACAATTGTATTTTCTGCTAATATAAATATCACTGTAGGAGTCGTATGATTTATACTGTCACATGAACAGATGACATTCTTTTCTTCCTCTGCTTTTTCCTCATTTCTAAATGAAGAGGAGATGAAAGGCACGAGTGTTAACCCTTCAACACAGACACCATCACAATGAGCCCATACAATGTGCTTATATACGTATCAAAACAGAGACATTGTAAAGAATCATGTTAGATTACTTTTCATTTGTTCAAAAGACAAAACTGTTAAACACGATGATTGACTATTAGCTCCTATAAAGATTAGACTTGAACAACGAAACACATCTTAAATACACAAACGGTTCTGTTACAGCTCGTAGTCTATCACTGCGGGGGTCATTGAGCCATGTCTTCAGTTTTAGTAGAGAGCTTGTTCTTTAAACATATTTGAATGGAAGTGCAGTGTCAAAGTGTGTGTGAGTAATGTGTGTAATACTGCTACCACTGATCAGCTCTGCACTCTGATATTCATTTCAAGCATTTGGGTGATTTCAGTAGCCAATTGGGAACAGGAAATACAAATAACATGTGTACACATTGCTGTCAGGTCTCTGAGGTTTGGAGAAATGTCAAGGATGTGTGTGTGTGTGTGTGTGTGTGTGTGTGTGTGTGTGTTGTGTGTGTGTGTGTGTGTGTGTGTGTGTGTGTGTGTGTGTGTGTGTGTGTGTGTGTGTGTGTGTGTGTGTGTGTGTGTGTGTGTGTGTGTGTGTGTGTGTGTGTGTGTGTGTGTGTGAGTGTTGAGGAAACAGTACAAATCACACCAGTAGTTGTTTTATAGTTTCTCTTGGAGTCGTTCTAACTGGCAGAACCCTTTTCCATTCGGGAGGAATTGACCGGCTTTCTTCAGTCAAACCAGGGAAAGGCATGATGCTAGTAAAAAAGTAAGATCATTAAAAAAACATGTGGAGAGAGGGGAAAACTAATATTTTAGGAGCAGCTTGTTGCTAATATGCTATTCCATTTGTGCCTGTGAATATATGTGGCGGTTGTGTGAAGAGCGTGGAGGCTGCAGATGGATTAGCAGCACATGTACAGTGAGAGGCGGAGAACAGAGGAAGCCAAGCCCGAGAGACGCAAGCCCAGCACCGACAACTTCTCACTGACAACAACTGTAATTCAAAGCGGAACCTCTTTGGCCTCAACAGCAGCCAAACTCCATATGTGAGCTCTGCAGATACCTGCTCTGACGGCACACATTGAAGACGGGTTCGTTTATTTTGGAGCCGTTCATTTTTAGACGTCCTCTTCCCTTTGAGTTGTTTGTTTTTCTTTAGCCCCGGTTAACTGAAATCCTATTAGCGCACTTGCCTGACTCACCCGACCCTTATTAGGTTAATCAGGCCAAAGTGACGCTTCTTCCTTTGCATGTGTTGTATGCACGCACTCTGGAGAAGACACCGCAACCAGAAGCACCTTGCTTTTGCATTATTAAAGACCTATTTGTTGGCTCTAAACATATGGTTATTTACACTTTATGTTTATGCATTTCACGTACGTATACATATCATGCTTTAGGTGCACATGGAAGGGTTTTCTGTGGTTTGAAAAGAATCAGACCTGTCTCTGTGTCTCTGTGTCTCTGTGTCTCTGTGTCTCTGTGTCTCTGTGTCTCTGTGTCTCTGTGTCTCTCTGTGTCTCTGCTCTAGCTACTCTCTGTGTCTCTGTGTCTCTGTGTCTCTCTGTGTCTCTGCTCTAGCTACTCTCTGTGTCTCTGTGTCTCTGCTCTAGCTACTCTCTGTGTCTCTGTGTCTCTGTGTCTCTGTGTCTCTGTGTCTCTGTGTCTCTGTGTCTCTGTGTCTCTGTGTCTCTGCTCTAGCTACTCTCTGTGTCTCTGTGTCTCTGTGTCTCTCTGTGTCTCTGCTCTAGCTACTCTCTGTGTCTCTGTGTCTCTGCTCTAGCTACTCTCTGTGTCTCTGTGTCTCTGTGTCTCTGCTCTAGCTACTCTCTGTGTCTCTATGTCTCTGTGTCTCTGTGTCTCTGCTCTAGCTACTCACTGTGTCTCTGTGTCTCTGTGTCTCTGTGTCTCTGTGTCTCTGTGTCTCTGCTCTAGCTACTCTCTGTGTCTCTGTGTCTCTGCTCTAGCTACTCTCTGTGTCTCTGTGTCTCTGCTCTAGCTACTCTCTGTGTCTCTGTGTCTCTGCTCTAGCTACTCACTGTGTCTCTGTGTCTCTGCTCTAGCTACTCTCTGTGTCTCTGTGTCTCTGTGTCTCTGCTCTAGCTACTCACTGTGTCTCTGTGTCTCTGCACTAGCTACTCACTGTGTCTCTGCTCACAGGAAGTCAGCAGTGGGTCTGAGGTTTGGCTGCATTTTCTATTTATTTCTATTTATCATTAATCAGCAATCAGTATGTGATGAAGTGTTTGCAGGGTCAGTGTGTGTGTGTGTGTGTGTGTGTGTGTGTGTGTGTGTGTGTGTGTGTGTGTGTGGTGCGTGTGTGTGGTGTGTGTGTGTGTGTGTGTGTGTCTGTGTGTGTGTGTGTGTGTGTGTGTGTGTTGTCTGTGTGTGTGTTGTGGTGTGTGTGTGTGTGTGGGTGTGTGTGTGTGTGTGTGTGTGTGTGTGTGTTTGTTCCAGGTCAGCTCACTGGCTTTATCCTCTCTGAAGTTTATTACTGGAGAAATACATGCTGCTGTACATAGCTGTTCATTTCAATATTGGTGGACAGATGGCTGCAGCCTGCAGGCCACACACACACGCACGCACGCACGCACGCACGCACGCACGCACGCACGCACGCACGCACGCACGCACGCACGCACGCACGCACGCACGCACACACACACACACACACACACACACATACAGTATGTGTGTAAGTGATACAACACAATACAACATAAGATGCATGCAGTACAAAATGAATGCAATACAGACACATGCAGGAGGAGCGGTGCAGTGTGTGATGTGGACTGACAGAGCACACACACACACACACACACACACACACACACACACACACACACACACACACACACACACACACACACACACACACACACACACATACACACACACACACACACACACACACACACACACACACACACACACACACACAGTCACACACATGTTGTTAATCTAGACCAGGGGTGTCTAACCCAATTTCATCACGGGCCACATCAGCATTTTGGTTGCACTCAAAGGGCCGGCTGTAACTTTAAGACTATATGAAAATACATATGTAAATATTTAATATAAACGTATGTATTATATGACATTATTGCCTCTGCATTGGATCATTATCGGATAGGGTAATAACTTCATAATTAACTACGTCTGAAAGCAGAAGTCTAGGGCAAATCATTGGAAGTATCTTCAGTGAGAATGTCACAAAATGATTTTTTTGTTTAAAGCCAAATTCTGGAAAAAAAATTAAAATGTAAAAAAAGGTGAAATTTTGAAGAAAGAAAAATCAAATTCTGAAAGAAAAGTCATATTTGAGATGCATTGTGGGACATGTAGTTTATGGGCAACGTGCTTTTGTAAATCGGCATGTAACCATATAATAAACGTATTATATTCTTTCAGAGCTCTTGTGGGGCCGCATTAAATGAAGTCGCGGGCCGGATTTGGCCCCCGGGCCTTGAGTTTGACACCCCTGATCTAGACTATATTATATGTATTATAAAATATATGTGCCCCCCCCCCCCCTATCATGTGCCATTAATAATGTCAGGGGTCAGGAGATGTAAAAAGGACAAGACATTAAATATTAATGTATTTATTTTAATTTAAATTTTGAAACTGATTTCTTTCTACATGTTCTAAACGTATATATTGGTAGAATGCTGTGTGTGGTTAGCAGCCACTGGTTAGCAGCCACTGGTTAGCAGCCACTGGTTAGCAGCCACTGGTTAGCCACTGGTTAGCAGCCACTGGTTAGCAGCCACTGGTTAGCCACTGGTTAGCAGCCACTGGTTAGCAGCCACTGGTTAGCAGCCACTGGTTAGCCACTGGTTAGCAGCCACTGGTTAGCAGCCACTGGTTAGCCACTGGTTAGCAGCCACTGGTTAGCAGCCACTGGTTAGCAGCCACTGGTTAGCAGCCACTGGTTAGCCACTGGTTAGCAGCCACTGGTTAGCCACTGGTTAGCAGCCACTGGTTAGCAGCCACTGGTTAGCCACTGGTTAGCAGCCACTGGTTAGCCACTGGTTAGCAGCCACTGAAATGCATTGTCTTTTTCAAAGTGTGGAATGTATAACGGTCCTGTTCCGTGTTTGGAGAGCAGAGGGGTTAGAAATAGTGGATTTCAAAGCAGGAATATGGAGGTGGGCTCCCAAATGTCTTGGATCTGCCCGACCTGCAACTAAAGCATCATCTGGTAGAGAGAGAGATGATGATTGCTGTCTTTCCTGTTAACCTCTGGACAAATAAATGGACCTGTTTGTTTTATAGAGCCACTGAGGCGGATACATTCAGTTCTTTTCTTGAACCTGTATAAAATACAATGCTTTTACATTTGAATAAAAGTGACAATAGCTCCCAAATGTGGATACAGTTGAATCTTTCTGTCAATCAGACAAACACTTTCAGGCCGAGCCTCCAGAGAGCCACAGCTGATCCGCTTCACTTCTGTCCATGTTTTCTGTAGCAGTGACTAAGTATCAATGATCGGACTGAGGGGTCCAGTCTGCAGTCAGCTGATCTTCATCATGTCTCTTCTGTGTTTCTCCACAGCGGAGGTCGAGCTCCCAGATGGCGGACTGCTCTCCAACTCTCTTTCCTTCCACCCCCTCCACCCCCTCCGCCTGCCCTCTCACCCGCTTGGCCTCCCTCCCCACCCGTTGGACCCCAGTCTGGCCCCCGCCCTGCCCCCCGGCCTCCACGCCGACCACGACCTGCTGACCTGCGGCCAGTGCCAGGTGACCTTCCCCCTGGGAGACATCCTCCTCTTCATCGAGCACAAGAAGAAGCAATGCCAGACGCCGCTGCTACTCAACGGCTGCTACGAGAAGATGAGCGACCGGGGGGGCGGAGGGGGGAGTCCGTCTCTGCAGAGCCTCCATCAGCACGCCCAGAGGGGGGGGCTGAGGAAGGTGCTGCAGCCGGTGGAGGTTGGCATCCAGGTGACCCCAGAGGAGGAGGAGGTTGGAAGAGGTGAGAGGCGAGAGAGGACGCCCATCAAAGGAATTTTCCCCAAGCAGGAGCACACCCCCACAGGTAGGCACCCTTCAGAACACCCCCCCCCCCCAAACCCCACCACACATATGACCTGTGTATGACTTCATGTGTTACTGCATGTAAATGGCATTTGTAGCTTTTGTGGAGGCTTCCTGTCAGGACTTACTGTACCCCTTCCTCTCCAGCAAGACAGGCAGAGAGAGGTGTTCATTGCATTGGAGGCAGGGGGGCCCAACAGTTAGGTGGAGAGGGAGATAAACGCACAACCCAGTCAAAACCCCTAAACCCCCTCAAGGACTTGGCTAGTCGAAAAACAAATAGTACAGACTCAGACGTTCATGGAGAGATCCAGCCTGAGCCGTCTGCTCAGAGAGGTGAACAGATCATTACAGTTACAATGAGCAAGATGAGGAGAGGAGGAAGAAGAGGAGGAAGAAGACAGAGGAAGAAGACAGAGGAAGAGGGATTAAAAAGAGGCTAGCTCTCCCCCATTCAGAGGCAGCTAAGCAGGGGGGGGGGGGGGGCACCAGCAGTTATCTTTAAAAGCATTCAAAGCAAAGCAGAGAAACAGAATACTCCGACTCCAGAGGTCAGAGGTGACATCATCATTATGTGACAACAAGATGTGACCTTCTCAGAGATGAGAGCACATTGAGCATCTTTCTAGTTTGTGATGTGTTGCAGATTCAATTAAATAATGTTTCCAGTGTGTAAGTGGGAAGGACTATTGGGATATATGACAGAACAACTCTCAGTTGTACAATGTATACTCAAATAATATATATATCAAATATATTGTGGCCAGTTAATCTGGTATCAAGCTATCAAGCTATCAAGCTATCAAGCTATCAAGCTATCAAGCTATCAAGCTATCAAGCTATCAAGCTGAGCCTTCCTGGTGGGTCTGCCTACACAAAGCACACTTTAGAACCACAGAAGGAGCTTCTCATCAGGACTCAAATGCAACACATCTAGCTGCCTTTCACTCACCACTACATATCTGAGACGTCTTCAAAGATGATAAACCCTAACCCCATGAAATAGTAGCATTTAAAGACACAAGTGAAGAAATAAGATCAATGAAAGTAAAGCTTGAATAAAGAACAAAAGATCCTGTGGAAAACACTGATAATCACAATGTTGTTATTGCAGTTCTATGGATCACACTTCGGTGCAGGCCTCATAGTTATGATGTTTCATCTGACACCTTTGACCCAATGTGAACACGTGTTGTCTGCTAAATCAATGTCGGATCCTTCTCTCCTGCGACCATGGTGTTCACACAGAGGATGTTATTGATTGGTCATTCATAATGTTGTGAATGTTGAAATTAGGCCCAGAAGCAATAAATAAAGTAATTCATTTCTATTTGACTTTCATTTAAAGAGGAACTGACACAACAATGAGGATATGCGGTAGATTATGCGATGTGCCTTGAGTAAATAATAATATCTTTGTAAATGAATAATAATAAATCAAAGTGCTTGAAAGTGTTAGCAGTGATATCTAGGACATATGTTCAGGGTTCAGCCAGCACTGATCCGTACTTGGGATTAAGCAGGAAGACAACATCAAATCCTTCCTCCTCATCATTTACTCAAGTACCCGGGGAACTTGTACTTTACTTAAGTATTTCCATTTTGTGCTGCTTAAAACTTCTAATCCACAACATTTAGGGATATTAGGTAGGCATTATTCATATTTATGTGCATACATCGATTTTGTATGCAGGACTTGTACTTGTAACAGAGTATTTTTACACTGTAGTAATATTACTTGTACTTGTAACAGAGTATTTTTACACTGTAGTAATATTACTTGTACTTGTAACAGAGTATTTTTACACTGTAGTAATATTACTTGTACTTGTAACAGAGTATTTTTACACTGTAGTAATATTACTTGTACTTGTAACAGAGTATTTTTACACTGTAGTAATATTACTTGTACTTGTAACAGAGTATTTTACACTGTAGTAATATTACTTGTACTTGTAACAGAGTATTTTTACACTGTAGTAATATTACTTGTACTTGTAACAGAGTATTTTTACACTGTAGTAATATTACTTGTACTTGTAACAGAGTATTTTTACACTGTAGTAATATTACTTGTACGTGCATAAATTCAGAATCAATAAGAATCAGAAATCCTTTAACAGGAACATTTACATGATCACAACAGCAGGAGTATAGTGCAGACAAAGTGAGGAGAATAGACTCACATATTAAAATATAAAAAATGACTAAGTATGCACACGTTATTAATAATAAGAGATCACAATAAGTAACAAACTAAAACAAATAGCAGATAAGTACACCATGGTAAAAAAGTAGCAGTATATTTGTTTAAAAAAAGTGAAACTTGCACTTGCATATATATTGCACAAAGTTGTATATTTACAGGCAGTGATATTGCACATCAGGGGTATTCCAGTCTATGTGTGGGGGTCTACCAGGGGCCGTGGTGGTTGTACAGCCTGACCTCTGCAGGAAGGAAGGACCTGATATGGTAGTACTTCTTCCAGCTGTGAGCAGCAGACAGATGTGTGGTCAGTGTAACAGTGGGACTGTCAGTCTGTGGCCGTGCTGTCACTCACTGTTTGCCCCTGAGCCCGGCAGCTTTACCTTTAATGCCCTCAGTACAGGGTGCATGTAGCCCTCTACTCGTGCCTGATGCACTCGAGCGTGTGCCCTAATTGATTGGCGCTCGTCGCGATATTAGGTCGGCATTATTCATATTTATGTGCATAAGTCTATTTTCCCCCTGCGTTTAAATGCTTGCAATATATCTAGCTGTAGTCCTCCTGTGAAATCAACTCCACATGTGCAGCGACGGAAGGCCGGAAATTGTAATTGCACAATATTTCTTCATAACAGAATCCGCAATAATTCTCACATTAAAAGCAAAAGCATATTAGCGGCTCAATTGGACGTGCACTGTGGCAACTGTAAACTATATTGCTGCAATAACATTTTATGTTTCCAAATTACACTCTGTATTTCACATGAAATATGACTAACTAGCACCTTATAACGGGCGGGGGGTATTCATCGAGAACACGCTCAGCCCTGCACAGTCAAGGGGGGAAATAACAGGTGCACTGTAGATATTGTAATTCAGACCTCGTTTTTTCTTTCAAAATACTTTTACACCTTCATTACTTTATGAAAGGGGTCAAATGGTGATGGGGGGGGGCATAGTGGAGGAAGCAAGAGAACATGTAGAGAGGGTGTTACCAGGCCCCCCAGGCCACCATAAGTCCTGCAGGGGACAGTTTGAGGACAGAGGTGGATGTAGAGAGAGTCACTGTACAATTATCGCTACACATTTTAATATTGTGTAAAAACTAAAATTGAATATCGGATAACTTCTTTCTGCATGATGTTAAAGTTAGGAAATAATATTTCGAAAAATAGAAACATCAAATGATTATTAGTTTGCAAAATTACAAATAGTATTCATTTAGTTACTATATATTGTGAATGTAGGGCACTGCTGTATTTGATTTTTTATTTCATGATCTTTTACTATTTTATCCGATACCTTTGATAGTTAAGGTGCTGTGTGTGTGTGTGTGTGTGTGTGTGTGTGTGTGTGTGTGTGTGTGTGTGTGTGTGTGTGTGTGTGTGTGTGTGTGTGTGTGTGTGTGTGTGTGTGTGTGTGTGTGTGTGTGTGTGTGTGTGTGTGTGTGTTGCATCTGTAATGGGCCTAAAACAATGTGGATGAGGCAGTGAAGAAGTCTTGAGTCTTAAACAGTTTTGAATCAATGGCATTCTTTAAAATCTCTTTCAGCTGTGTGCTGTTGTTCGTATAAAGGTGGCACACCGTCATATTACTTTGCTTTTTAAGTAAACAAATGGTAATCAAAAAGTATTATTATTGCGGTGTTTAAACAGTTGGTACCAGAATCAGATTTCAGACCCACCCTGAAATGATTTGTCTAGAAATAGAAAGCAAGGCATACAAGGCTGTTTATGTTACCAGCCTAGACCAGCAAACTTAGTCCCCCCCCCCCCCCCCCCCATAATGCCTTCATTAAGAGAATTGTGCACTGCTGAACAGCATTCTACAACATGTTGCTCATGCTTTAGTGCAGCGTCTCGGCACACCTACTGATCCCTCCCGAGTCTCCTTCTCAGTGTGTATTTAATGTGTGTGAGTGTGTGTGCAACTTATTTTCTCTTTCTTCTCTTCCCTCCATCTACTTCTTCTAAATCTACCTTTCCTCTGTAAATCCAGCATCCTGGACACAAACCAGATACCCAAGAACAAAACAAGCGAAATACGAAGGCTGGAAAAGGCACAGACAGAGCGTGGTATAAGACGTGTGTGTGTGTGTGTGTGTGTGTGTGTGTGTGTGTGTGTGTGTGTGTGTGTGTGTGTGTGTTTACAGAGCATACAAAGGCAAATCGGCATCTCATGTGCTTCTTAGCTTTTTCAAAATCCCCTTCTGAAATGTTTGCCTCGTTGCCTCTCTCTGCCGCGTGAATCACTTTGCATGCACTCATTTAAATATTAAAATTGTCTTTAATCATCAAAGCCAGTGAGCATCATGCATATTCATATAATCTTAACCCGCCCCCCCTTCTCCTGCATCCCTCCATCCCCTGGATCTCAGGTTCATTACTCTGCCGCGCAGCCATTAGCCACCTCCCTAATCACACAGTTTACACACAAAGACTAGCCTATGTATTCACACACACACACACACACACACACACACACACACACACACACACACACACACACACACACACACACACACACACACACGCACACACACACGCACACACACACACACACACACACACACACACACACACACACACACACACACACACACACACACACACACACACAATAAAACACAGCTAGCCACCAGTGCTAACCAGTGCTAACTCTCTCACTGGATGTGAACACATAGCCTCCCTGTCTGAAGCAGCGAGCAGGCTCATCCATCCCGGCTGCTCCATGGCTGGAGCTGGGAGTATTTGTCAAGAGGCTCGATGAAACCCTCATTTGCATAATGACTTTGT